AAAAAAAAAAAAAAAATGAAAACCAGACTAGGAGTAACAACCATTATATCTACTATTGATCTTTATGGTTAATTTATTGCTGCAAAGGATAAGTAATCAATTCTTAAGGAAACACAGAGAAGTCACATAAATATGGAGCTGTTTCTTTAACCTTGGGTTGGACTGAGGAGTTGACTTGGGTTCGGGATCCGTGGTGTGTGGAGAATAAGTGTCCGAGGGCCTGAGAAATACAGTTGGGATAGAGGGGACATTTACACCTGTCCATGGCAGCCATTGTGGGGGTGTCAGAGCCTCTGGGAGACCCTCAGAGATGCCACCTCCCATTTTGTGGGGCTCCAGGACATTCACGAGTCCCTCAAAAGATGTGGATCAAACACCCTCAGTCCTGAGCATTCAGGACTCAAAGACGCTGGGGCCCCGCACAGGCCATCTCATGAGAATGAGCTTGTATTTACTTCAAGTGGTTTGGGAAACAAACACACAAAGTGTTTCCAGCCAGGCGGGATGTATTACTACTGCCGCCAGTGACAGCTCCGTGTCTTCTTGGGGCTTCTGTTTTCAGGGTTGCTGCTGTGGTCTGAATGTTTGTCCCCTCAAATTCAAACGTTGAAATCTAATCCTCAGTGTGAGGGTATCTGGAGTGGGGGGCCTTTGAGAGCTGATTCACTCATGGGGGCGGATTAGTACCTTCATAAAAGGGATCCCAGACAGCTGACCCACCCCTTCCCCCATGGGAGGCACAGAGGGAAGGTGCCGACCATGAACCAGGAAGGGTGCTTTCTGCAGACACCCACCTGGCTGACATCTTGAACTTGGACTTCCAGCCTCCGAATGGGTGGCAGGTGCAGTTTGTCTCACTCCTTTGCTCCCGTCCGCTAGGCAGGGCTGGTTGAGTCTGCGAGTGTTAAACGCGTGTGCAGCTTCACTCTTTACTCATTTTACATTGGAATGTCCCTGAAATGAGAGTGTTCCTGAAAATTCAAGCCAATAGAACTCTACACAGCTTCTCAGAGCCTCGTCTGTTCAAATTCTGCCTCATAGAGTTTTTCTAGTTCCCTGGGGACCCTCAAAGCATGCAGTGTGGGTCTCGAGCTTTTCTTAGTATTCTCTAAAGCTTTTAGAAATGTTTACCCAGAAAAAGGCCATGTAAGCTATTAAAAATATCAAGGGCTAGAATCTGTGCATAGAAAATGAGTCACCCTTGGGGCAGCGCCTGTGGGTAGGGCACTGGCCCCATATACCATGGGTGGCAGGTTCAAACCCAGCTCTGGCCAAACTGCAACAAAAAAATAGCTGGGTGTTGTGGCGGGCGCCTGTAGTCCCAGCTACTCAGGAGGCTGAGGCAAGAGAATCGCCAAAGCCCAAGAGCTAGAGGTTGCTGTGAGCTGTGATGGCACGACACTCTACTGAGGGGGACAAAGTGTCTGCTGTCACACACACAGACACATATATGCTGGCCTTTTGGTGATATGAAGGTAATTCCTGGTTTACTAAGTAATTTTAAGCCCCAGAGTGGCAAAGCTGTTATCATTCTTTTAATTCTCCTTTCATCCATCTGTTGGAAGAACACTGGAAGAATAAGTTTTAGTTCGATGCTGAAATTTTTGCTAACCAGGAGAAAAGGCCCCAGGCTCTCGACAACAGTATCTAAAAAGAATTTAATAACATGGTTTTCTTTTAATTGTCTTTATTTTTTTTATGGTCACATTCTATTTATAGCGCATGGTACTGGCTTCCCAAATATGAAAATTCCCTTTAAAAATAAATTGACTTCACTAAAAGTATTAAATAAACAGTAGCACAGATGGTATGCGGATATGACAAATTGTGAAAGTGCATGCAAATGGCTAAAGTTTGGGAAACAGTCTTGTGACGTTATTAACGTGTGTGGTGGGAGAAATACTTAAAAAGAACACTTACTGGGGAAAAACATTCACAAGCACTGAGCTGAAGACGATCTGGTCTCTCTGACTTTTTCTGGCTTGTGCTCCCTTTTCAAGAAAGCTGCAGAAAGGACAATCTTGGCAACCCAGAGATAGCTCTAAACATGTGTCAGAGAGCCGGGCCTGTGGCTCGCCCTGTAATCCTAGCACTCCTCGGGAAGGCCAAGGCGAGTGAATGGCTGGAGCTCCCAAGTTTGAGACCAGCCTGAGCAAGAGTGAGACCCCATCTTTACAAAAATAGAAAAACTAGCTGGGCGTCATGGTGGGCACCTGGAGTCCTAGTTACTTGGAAGTTTGAGGCAGGATAATCTGCTGAGCCCGAGGGTTTGAGGTTGCTATGAGCTATCTCTGTCTCAAAACAAACAAACAAAAGAGACCAGGCAACATGAGCTGATCGCTGAGGTCTCAGACAGGAGCTCCCAGAAGAGGTAGCTGCCTCCTGGGTTTATGTGTCTTCAACTCAGCGGTCTGCAGGTGAGGGAGCAGGTGCTGCTTATCCCTTAATGGTTTCTTCAGTAATAGTCCTTTAGGAGAACCACTGCAGCCGGCTGCATCTGTTTTCATATAAAACAATCTGGAGTGGTTTTCACGTCCCAGAGGCTCCTGTGTAGGATGGGCCTGTGATCAGTCCCCCCCAGCTCAGGGGAGCTGCGCATGTGCTTCTAACATTCCTTTTCCGGACCTTCCACCTTCCCTCTAAGTTTGCTTTCCTCCTGTTGAGAGCACAGTGAACGTTTCTCTTCCCTCCTAATTTGACTGTGGGGGATCCTTTCCAGGAGGCCCTGTGTGCTGTCTGCCCCCAAGTGAAGCTGCAAATCTAGATGTGTGTGTTTATTAAAAATAATGACAATGTGAAATGCCTTTATTTTTTATTTATTTCAAGACAGAGTTTCACTCTGTCACCTAAAGTAGAGTGCAATGGTGTCATTAGAAGTTACTGTAACCTCAAACTCTGCTCAAATTTCCCCCTGCCTCAGTCTCCAGAGTAGATGGGACTGCAGACATATGCCCACCATGCCTGGCTAATTAATCTATTTTTATGGCTATATTGAGAAGAATGGTCTCTAAATTTTGTCCTCAAGTGAGCCTCCTACCTCAGCCTCCCATGCCTGGCAAGAATGCCTTTCAAGTGTGGGAACTAGTTAAACACATGCACCTTGTTGGCTTCATGTGCCCTACAAAATACATCTTGTGTTTTCTTTCTTGTTTCTTTCTTTTTTTTTAGACTCTTTTTTTTGTTTGTTTGTTTTTAGAGACAGAGTCTCACTATGTCACCCTTAGTAGAGTGCTATGGCGTCACAGCTCACAGCAACCTCAAACTCTTGGGCTTAAGCAATTCTCTTGGCTCAGCCTCCCAAGTAGCTGGGACTGTAGGCACCTACCACAATGCCAAGCTACTTTTTGTTGCAGTTGTCATTGTTGTTTAGCAGGCCCAGGCTGCTTTCAAACCTGCCAGGCTTTGTGTACATGGCTGGTGCCCTATGCACTGAGCTATGGGTGCCGAGCCTTTTTTAAACTCTTGAAGGAGGTAAGTGATCACTAAGTGGTTTTGAGCAAGGATTGCCATGACTTTGCCTGATGAAGAGTTGACTGGGAGGTGGCATTTCAGGATGAGAGAACTGATGTGGCATACAGCTGGCTGAAGGCCCAGCAGTCTCCTGGCAGCCCAGGGAAGCCCTGTCTGGGAAGTGTTAGCACCTCTGTGGTTTCTGGAGGTCCCTCCTATCCCTTTTCCAGCCAGTCTAACACACCTGTCCCCTACATGCCAGCGCTTGCTTGCTAGGCAAGTGCAGTCCAGGCTGAGTCCTCTAGGGGCCCCTCCCCAGCTAAACTGCCA